ATCTGTTGATGGATACTTGGTTTGCGTCCACCTTTTGGTCATTGTGAATAATGCTGCCATGAACATAGATGTAAAGATATCTCATTGCAATTCTGTTTTTAATTCTTTTGACGGTATGCACAGAAGTGGTATTGCTTGATCTTATGGTAATTCTGTATTTAATATTTTGAGAACTCCCCCACAGCTGCTTTGCCATTTTGCATTTCCATAGCAGTGCACAAATATTACCATTTCTTCACATCTTCACTTATACTTATTTTAGATTTCAGCCATCCTAGTGTGCAATAACATCCTATTGTGGTGTTTGATGGAATTATCTTAATAATTAGTGATGTTGAGCATCTTTTCATGTATTTTTTTTGGTCATTTGTTTATCATTTTTGGAGAAATACCTATTCAAGACCTTGTCCATTTTTTTAAGTGGTTTCTCTTTTTGCTGTGGTGGTAGTTGTTGAGTTGTGGGAGTTTGTATATATTCTAGGTATTAACCCATCAGATATACAACTTGCAAATAATTTTCTTCCATTCTGTAGGTCGTCTTTTCACTCTGCTGTGTGTTTTATTTTGGTACTAGGAACTAAACCCAGGGATGCTCTACCATTGAGCTACACTATACCTCCAGCCCTTTTTATTTTTTGAGACAGGGTCTCACTACGTTGCCCAGGCTGGCCTTGAACTTGTGATACTCTTTGCTTCGGCCTTGAGTTTCTGGGATCACAGGCCTGTGCCACCATGCCTAGCTCTACTGTGTCTTAATACAGAGAAACTTTAAATTTTTATATATTCCAAGTTATCTATTTTTACTTTTATTGCCTTTGTTATTTTGCATCCAAGAAATCATTGCTAAATCCAATGTTGTAGAGATTTTCCTCTAAGTTTTCTTTAAGTTTTGTTTTAGCTCTTTTGTTTAGGTCTCAATCTATTTTGAATTAATTTATACAAGGGGAAGGTCCAGCTTCATCCTTTTGTATGGGATATCCGTTTTCCCAGCACCATTAGTTGAAGAGACCCTCTGTCACTGTTTAGATGGTCCTGGCACCTTTGTTGAAGATCATTTATCCATATATATGAGGCTTTCTTTCTAGACTTTCTGTTCTGTTCCATTGGTCTACATGTCTTTGCTAGTGCCAAACCATTTTCATTACTATACCTTTGTAATAAGTTCTGAGACCTCCAATCTTTGTTCTTCTTTCTCAAGATTGTTTTGCCTATCTGGGATCCATTGAGATTCTGTACAACTTTTAGTGTGGATTTTTCTAAATCTGTCAAATTTTTATAAAGACTGCAGTAAATCTTTACACTACTTTAGGTAGTATAGATGTCTTAATGATGAACAGAGGACAGCTTGTCCTTGGAAACAGGAATGGAATAAATTTGAAAATCTATTTTATTTAATCCAATATATTCAAAACATATCTTCTCAAGTGTAATCAATATAAAATTATTGAGATATTTTGTACCTTTATCAACCTGTGCCTTCAAAATTCAGTATGTATACTTATAACACAGCACATCATAATTCAGATTAACCACAAATCAAGGGCTCAATACCCTATGTGGCTAGTTGCTAGCACATCAGACAGCATATTTTTGAAGGGTGATTAGTTAATAGACAAATGTCAAATAAAACAACATGAGCAAAGTTTTTGCACTTGGCATTCAAGGAGATGTATGGAATGCCTGAAGTGAAAGTAAGGAATATGGGAGACAAAGCTGAAATGGCATGCAGTAGGCAGCCTGGGAGGGCCTGTGGGTGTCTGTGATGCCATATGGAAAGAGCTATAAGGTGGTAAGGGGAGCCAGCTAAAGGCTTTATGCAGCATAATAATTTGATCAAGTTTGCATTGCAGGAAGACCTCAGACTACTTTAGAAGATATGTGGGGAATGAATGGGATAGGAGTAGGGGGATGTAAGACTGAAGGTATGAGGGCCATTTAAGGACACTATGTCAACAGTCTGGTAAGGGTATGAGGTAAGGCAAAGACCAGATCCTGGAGAAGGATGTATGACAAGGTAGAAGTAGCCAGATAAGTTTATGAGCCAGGTATCCAAGGGGTGGGTGGCTGGGATATCCTGAAGACGAACAAGTAACAGCTCTCAAGTGTCAATGAATAATCACAGGATTCGAAATATAAACAATAAAAATGTAGCTCTAGGAAGTTTTGGGTCAAAACCATCATGCCTGGATTCTGACCAGCAGTAGATGCCTTGGAGTAGAAGTTACCTCGGGTAGAGAAGATACAGACAGAAGATAGCTGGAAGTAGTGGTGCACGCCTACAATCCCAGCACTGTGGCAGGAGGATCACAATTTGAGGCTAGCGCCGGCAACTTAGTGAGATCCTAAGCAACTTATCAAGACACTGTCTCAAGAACAAACAACAAAAAAGAACATAAGAGTATTAGATGGTATATTATTTAAGAAAATGTGTGTGAAAGATGCTTCATGAGGTGTGTGGTTTTGTATGGTCAGGAGGGCTTCACAGGGGAGATAGCAGCAAACAAAACCCTAAAAGATAGTGTGACTTAACAGACCCCCAGTTGGATATGTGTAAGAAAAGGCTCAGATGGCAGTTAGTTTGGCAAAAATACATAGCACTTATGTATGTTTGTATCCCTCCAAAGAATGAAAATATTTTTAAAAATCATGACAAAATATTTGTGGAAAAAAGGCAGGATTTAGAGAGGGAATGAATAGAAAGAAAAGATACATTCTTGAGTTGAGAAATTTGATTCTCATATGTGCATTTTTTAAGAAAATGTAGGTTTTGTCTAAAGGAGTTAAAGGCTTGTGAAAATGACCCAGGTTTGGCATTTTAAGACCTGGGTTTGAGTCTAGCTTGATCACTCTGAATTAACAAGTTTGAGAACTCTGATTTATGGGTGACAGCCTTTCAGATCTTTCATTTCATCTTATGTAATATAGGAATTAAGACAGATCTTTTCTGGGAATCCTTACAGTGCAAATTACCTGATGATCTCAACCTCAGTATTTTTATGTGCAAAATGGAGACCACACCATGTTCTTTTCAGGAGTGGAATTTTGAATGGCCTTTGACTATGGAATAGTGTATTTGTATTATTTTATGTTACCACAAAGAAACAGATTGGATACAATTAGGAAACCTGCCTGGGTGCTTCTGGGGGTCCCAGGCTGTGAAAAGAAGTGCAACTACACGGTGAGCTGGTGGGGTTCAGACCTGGGAAGAATGAACTCCTGCAGGACTAGGATTTGCACGCTGTGAAGTAAAACCACCTCTGCTTCATATGGGTAACCATGAAAGGCACAAAGAATTAGCTCTACAACTTGGTGGATTTAAAGGGGAATGGAGGTCACTCTTGGGCAAGGGGCTGGACAATGAGTGCAAATGTGAAGAATCTTTGTGTTCCCAGGATGAGAAAGAGCCTCTTACAGGCTGTATATTAGAATGATTCAGGAGCATAGGTGGGGAACTTAGCCTTCATGATTGCAGGGAGATGATTTTGTGATATAGCAACACCATGATTTAGCAGAAAACCAGTCTTCTCTGCTTCCTGCAGTTCCAGGAAGTTTGGTGTCCCTCTTTCTGTACTAAATGGATTGCAAACATTTCCCATTGGGAGTTTATACAGTAGTGAACAGAGACTGGGTCCTTTTAGTAAAAGCTTCTATTGCTTCAGAAGAGGAGAGAGTGAGGGGTTTTCTTTAACAAAGACCCAAAACTTACTGCTTAAGACCCTTCTCATATTTCCTTATGATTCTCAATGGAGTGCAATTTGGCAGCAGGAAACTGGGCTCTGGAGATAGCCACATTTGAAAGCTCTTATTCCTGCTTCATAAGATAGAACAGAGGGTCTACTGAATGAAAAACCCATGGAAGTACTGAAACCAACCCAAACCTGTCTCTTCTGCTGCCCTTTGTGTCTTTCCAAATAATTTTGAATACTTTTTTTTTTTTTTTTAATAACAGTGTCTGGCTATGTTGCCCTGGCTGGCTTTGAACTCCTGAACCCAAGTAATCCTTTAGTCTTAGTCTCCTGAGCACCTGCACCACCGTGCCTGGCTAATCTTGAGTCTGAATCAATTATTATATATTATTGAGACCCTTCTAGAAACCAAGCACTGAACTCCACAGACAAGAGTTATATGGCTTTGAGCTTAGGGAATTCACACCAGTAGGGCAAGCTGACAAGTCATCAAATTATCACTAAAGAAAGTGGATCTCACAAACACTAATATATGCCTTAGAAGAATCACCAGTCATCCTCGCCCCTCCCTCCTGGTACTGGGGATGGAACCCAGGGATGTTCTACCACTCAGGTGTACCACCAGCTTTTTATTTTGAGACAGGGTATTGCTAAATTGCCCAGGCTGGCTTTGAAAGGCTGACCTTGAACTTGCCTTAGCCTGCTGAACCTAGCAGCAAGGATTATGAGATGCATGCCACCACACCCAGCTTAATTATCCCTTTCTAAGACCCAGTCAAGGCATATCAACATTGTTAATACCCACAACAACCCTGCCAACATCTGGCTAAAAATAAAGCTCACAAACCAAATCAAACTACCTCCATACTCTTGTTTTTCTGCCTGCTCCCAAATCTCGGTTCTCAGAGATAAACCAGTATCTATTAGTGTGACAGAAGACAGTATTGACAAAGTTTTCACCCATCAATTTTACCAGTCCTCCAGTTCCCTTCCTCTCATTAACACTCACCCCGTTTTCTTTTAGAATAGTTATTTTCACTTCCAAAGGCACATAGACTTAGAAATCTGTGTTAGTGGCTATTATTATTTCTGTTTCAAATGACCTCTTTCACTTCCTGCTGTGTCAATTACAACAAGCTGCACTTAAAAGGCAAAAGCTCCTGTTGTTCTCTAGTGGTGAGGGAGAACTTGTAAACGGAGTTCAGGAATGTCAAAAGGTGACCCAGATTTGCAGCCCAAGGAAAAAAACCAAGTTCATGTTGAGTATCCTATGCCATCACTCAAATGCAGCCATTTCTAATGTGGGAACAGGTGCACAGAAAGATAAACTTCAAAGAAATATATAGTATTAATAAGAACTTACTATTTAAGGACCTCAAGGTAAAGTAAAAAATCCCAAGTTGTCACATTACAATCTCTTCAGTGCTTCTCCATTCATTTCCAATCAATGGTAAAGTGTTGCAGTGATTTTCTCCAGATTGGAAATCAAATTAAGTCTAAAATAGGGTAAGATATCCAAATATAAACATGCCTGACTTGCTTCTGTCATCTTTCTTTAAAGCTCTGAAGGTAATACACAAAGGCATCACAAGAAAGGAGGTTGAACCACAGACTTCCAAAACCAGAAGTGAAATTAAAGTGAAGAAATGGAGGCAGAACATGGTGACATGATCTAATAGTAAGTGCCAAAACCACTGGAACCCATTCCTTGACTCCTGGATGAGTGCTTCCACACTGACCTTCCTGAGGACACAATTTATAGTAGCTGGGATAGACTGGGCTCCCTAGATTGTCAACCCAGGCTTCCCTCCATGGCCCTGGTTCCATAGCTCCTCCCTATTGGATCTGCTGGAGCAGTTGGTTAATTTGGTCAACTTTCTTCTCCTTTTTCTCCTGCTTCTTCGCTAACCTGCCCTCCATTTGGTCCAACTGGCACTTAAAAAATTACTGTGCCCACAATACAGACAGCCAGTTTGGCTATAGCCAGTTCTAGGTTTTCCAGTTCTGGTACCCTACTACCTCCCTAGTGACACTGTGATCAGGAGGCAGGCATAAGACCCAAACAAAGCCAATTAAAGATGCCTTTTTGAGCAGTACTGGATGTTGCGAGGCTATATCGTATGTTCGAGATTCACAAGTAGTAGAGATGCGAGTTTTGGGCTGCCAAGTGCTATCTTTTCCACCAAGTAAAGAGAATGTTCTTGAAAAGAAGACAACACAAATTGCTCAATAAATGTTATCCATTATACAGACCACATTCTGCTCCTGGGAAATACTAGGTCTCTGTAAGCTAATGGAGGTAGGTAAGAAAAACCAGATACAAAAACTCAATTTTTTGTTATAGTAGCAGCTATCCTTACTTTGGGAGAAATATGGTTTTGTAGAAATAAGGTGGGCTCGCTAGGCTGAGACCTGGTTTGAATCCAGATTCCACTGCTTACCAGCAGTGCTTGGCAACCTGAATTAACTTGGCTCCGGCTGCTGTGGAGATTGATATACCAGAGTTCCCAGTTCATGTAAGCGTAAAGTTCCTTCCATTAGTGTGGTCAAGCTCTACTTAACAGGAGAGAACTTTTGACACACTTAAGGCTTGTGAAAGTTGACTTGTTCTTTCCGAAAAATCCTTAAGGAAAGAAGGTAGTTGGAGAAGTTCACCTTGTTATTTCGAGATAAATTCAGAGGGAAAGGAAACTATGATGTTTAGGGCACTTTTAGGAAATGGTTGCTTTTATTACTGAAATCTGCTCTTACTCCATTTTCCCTCATATTCCAGTCTTGCAGTGGACAGTTCCTTTACTGAGAGTACTAGTCATCTTTAAGATTACTGATTCAGGTTCCCTTAAGTTATACATTATATTAACGAGCCTCTTACTATTCAGAAGAAAAGCTCTGGAACATTCCTCCTCCAGTAAATTCTGTTCCTATGAGAGGCTCCCTACTGGTTAATTTTCATTGCCTACCAGGAAACACATGTATTTGGACACAAAATCTCTGTTGAACTATATAAGGCACTTTGTAAATATTTACTGCATTAAAGGAACCAAGTTAATGACAAGACTAGGATGCTACTCTCCAGAACCAGGGCGTGTAATAAACTGTAAAAATAAGAATGGCAGAGATATGTGTTCAGACATGTTTCATTAGACTTAATTTTGCATGTACAAACTAAAACCCCAGTAAGTTCTTGCAAGTTCCTATTTTCAAATACGAAGGTCTCTTCTATTTTATAAGACTCTTGAAGTCCCCTCCTTTCCAAATTCATATAGTGCAATACATAAAAAGTGGTTTTGGAAAAGTCAAATAATTGGGAAAATAAGGAACCAGAAATAAGCCTATAGTAGGCTTCTAGGCCAATGGAATGTCAGCTTAATACCATATATAGTCAATAGGAAGTATAGTTCCATTAAAATATTTCAGATATTACTAACTAATGATGTTTGTACAAAGTCATTCTAGGTGTTTCAGATGTTACAGTTTGCTAAATAAATACTTTGGCAGATCTCTGGAAACATTAAGCCTGAATGCAAAAAACACGCAACCATGGTAAATCAGTCTGTTTCCTTTTATTTTATTTTCTTAGCTTTTTCAAGATCCATTTCAACCATCCTATACCTCCTGGGAAAAACAAAGGCAAACAGCTGGCAAGTAAAATATGCTATACTTTGGGCAACTCTGCCTCATGAGTCTATGAGAGATGACTGGTTATCAAAACACTGAGCAGAATAGATGGTACAAAAATATGTATGAATTAAGTGTATTGGAAAAGGTGGAAAAATAAAGCTAATTTGATTGCTTTTTCTCTGAAATATATATTTGTTGAAAGTTCTAGGGTGTTAATTCATAAGCCCAAATGGCTAAGACTGTGCATGGATAGTCTCTTTTCTTCTTATCTACTGAATAATTTGAAGATGCTGACATCTTCAGCATGTGCTGAACACAACTATGGATTAATCAGAGGCTGTATTTGGGGATGCTGCCACCACAGCAGTGGAAAGATAAAACAAAGAGGGGGGCCTGCATGGGAGCATATATAAAAATATGCATCCACTATTAGCTAAAACTTCAAAACAGTTCCAAATGAAGTCTTCCTCATGGCACAGATGGCTTTGCAGTCACTCTTAGATGAACCCAAATCTGATCAGGAGACAAGTGGTTGTCAAAAGTGTTAACCAGTCATTGTCCCCCTCTTATTTTTCAGGCAGTTGTTAGGCAATTAGTGAACTTCTGGCTGCCAGGGATTCTGATGCTTCTTCTTGTCTTCTAGGACACATGGGAATTTTCTGAATCCAAAGGAAATACAGGCTCACTGGATTCTCAGCAGCTAGGGGTACAGCAGTTGTTCCCAACTTTTTCCTGCCCCTGAACTACTGAAATGAACAATTACCTCTATCAGCTATGTATGCCATTACATAAAGATTCTCAAGGAGGGCCAACGGGTACATCCATCTCACTCAACCCAGAGTGGTATACAAAAGGGGGAAGAAGGGGCTGGGGATATATAGCTCAGTTGGTAGAGTGTTTGCCTTGCATGCACAAAGCCCTGGGTTCAATCCCCAGCACCACACACACAAAAAAAGCGGGGTACAGGGGAGAAGATGAGACATAATATGAAAAGCATCACCCCTAGCAATTCTACTACATCTCCTGGCCAACATTCAGCCCTACTCAACAGTTTCTCTTGCCTCCCTTCCCTTGTTTTAGAATCAAGTAGGTTAAAAATAATGAATAAAAGCACAAAACATAACAAGATAATCAAATAGACCTGAGATCCAGGAAGAAATGACTGGTCACTAACCATGAAATAATGATCAGGGTAGAAAATAAGAGTTACAACTTTCTAAAATCAAACAAAAATCACTTGTGTGATCCCTGAGATCTTTACGTAAGGATAGCTTTACACAGACGTTCCTGAGTAGAGGCATAATAATGTCATCCTGAGTTGAGGATATTAAAAATGGAATAATTTACAGAATCAAGTTGAAATTTTCTCTATTTTTTTTCCAAAAAGAAAACTTGTTGTCTTGTTTTTATTCAGAAAAACAAACTACTGTTTTCATAATCTATTATACTTTAGAGATAATAATTTTGGTTTCAGCTCTTCTTACCTCTACTTATTTATATCAAATTTCTCCAAGGATGTAAGACATGCAGAAGAATGGCTCCACATTAGAAAAGAAAATCAAGATAACAGCTGCTCAGATGTCATGGCTCAATTTTTTTTTTTGCACTGACACTTTTGAAATCTTTGGGGTTTGCCAGGGCTCCACTGCTACCTCATTTTGTTTCTCATATTTGGGAACTTGTTTTTTTTTTTTTGTAAAATGATGCCCATTATACCACTGTGATGTCAGGGTAAACATGTAGCCAAAACTCTAATCCTAATTATAAGGGCAATGAGTGAAAAGTATTACTAGCAATCAGCCTGGTTTTCAGATGGAACTTTGATCTGACACTACCATTTACAGTCATGTCCAGAAGGTCAAGTTGTCATTAGTGGAAATGAAGCACACCACCAAACTCTGGGGATTGAGAAGCAGGTTACCAATATAAGTCTAGACATCCCATTTCTGTGACACTAATATACAGGTATGCTTTCAATATATACAGGTATGCTATGAAGTTTCTCCTCCCCACCCCACTTTCTTTTTTTTTTTAGTTGTCAATGTACCTTTTATTTTATTTATATATTTATTTTATTTATATATGGTGCTGCAGTTCAAACCCAGTGTGCCTCACACATGCTAGGCAAGCGCTCTACCACTGAGTTACAACCCCAGCCCTCCTCTGTACTTGCTTTTTTTTTTTTTTTTGGTTACCAAACAATGCTGTATAAAATCTTTTTTTGTTTTGTTTTGTTCTTTGTTTTTTAAGAAGAGGGTTATTTGTCCAGTAGGGTATCCTTAACAACAAAGGGGATTCAGAGGTTCTTGCAAACTAATTCACTTGGGCTGCAAGTAAGCCTGATGAATTACTATTAACTCCTTGAAATAGCATACTTATCTACATAGTAGTCATATTTTCTAGATTTTTGATCCTCAGCTACTATTGCATAAACAATGAACATTTATATTAATTCTAATTTTCTTCCAGATTCTACAGGGACCATTATATTTTGTTTTCCATAGTATTCTTAAGACAAATTATAATAAAATCACATGATAGAAAAACTGGCTGGAAAAAATGAGATTTTTTCAGGATGACTGAAATAAAATTTTCTTTCTGAACTTAAAACTCAAAGGTCTAGGTAATTTTATAGAAAATGGGTGAGCAAATTTCTAACTGTAAAATAGGACAATTCAATCTTAAATACAAACAGAATAATGAAATATTAATAGGAAAAAGCTCAATGCATCCTACAGAAGTGTTCAGTGGCTTCCCTACAACTATTTAAAGCTAGTGATCACACTTTTATTCAGTTCAGGGTAAAATCCAAGCAAGACATAAGAAACAGATTAAACTAAATTGTGGGCAGCCATTTATTGTTTCCCTCTGCAGTGCTAAGAATGGAACCCAGGCCTTGTACATGACAGGCAAGTGCTTTATGCCTAAGCTATATCCCCAATTCAGCAGATATATATATATATATATATATTTTAAAGACTACAAACACATCAGGTAGGATTACACACTTTAATCTGATCGACATGGACAAAGTAGGGAGGACATGAAAGAAATTTAGTTTTAGCTTTGCTTTATGCATAACCAGATGCAATTTTTCTAAAAAGAGTAAGGTTTAAAAACCACATTCTGTCAGAATACCTCAGAAAACCATACTATGTGTAATCCAGGAAATACACTATTTGCAGAATAGGAAAATCATAATGTGCAACAAAAGATTAAAACAAAAGAAAGCACCAGGGTTTTGAGCAGTTTTAAAGTGAGTATATCTGCAGAAATAATATAAATGTTCCTGACTGGCTGCTATGGAAACATGCTAATGAGGATTGGTCCATGTCTTACAATATTTTTCTTAACATGTTTCTTTGGAAAAGTGGCAATATCGGCTGGGAGTGAAGCTATCTTTTTAGACACCAAGCTTATTGGCTTGGGTGAGAACAACTTTGAGAACTGGCATGAAAGCAGAGGTCTCACTGAAGTTGCTGGTGCTAACTATGTGGGTATGGATGGTCAAACCTTCTGAGTAGTTTCGAGTTTCAATGCTCCTTGCAATGTTGTGTAAACCATTGATGATTGTTGGTGAAAGCTGAAATAAAGGTGAGACCAAGAGAAAGAATTAAATTAAGGAGAATTTTTCTTAAGACCCTTACTACACTTTAGACCCAGATATTTAAGTGGAGCTTAGAATAAACATTTTAAAAATGTATAAAATACTTAAGCATTTCTAGAAACAGCTTCTTGGACCAAGGCACAGTTAAATTATAAAGGAGAACCATGAAAAAATGATTTATGTAAAGAAGTTATTTGTGAACTATACATATATAATAAACCAGGTATTTTCTCATAGAAAAGCTGCCAGATTTCCCCACCAAGATGAAATGCTAACACTCTCTCCACTGAAGAGCTTTAAATTCTTTAATTCTTTCAAATGTTTTCCTAAGTACAGAATGAGATTAAAGATTCTTAAATCATGATATTTCAAAGTAAAGACCCAATTTATTAAAAATCTTATCTATAACAGAGATTCTAAACTTTTGGTTCACTTTCATGAGCAGGGCAACAGGCTTCATTGTACATTCAAGTTACTAATTCTTCACTACATTTCATAATCCTGTCATTTTTCCAGGTTTTTTGTTTTTGTTTTTGTGTGTGTGTGTGTGTGTGTGTGTGTGTGCGCGCGCGCGCCTGTGGAGACAAGGCCTCCCTATGTTGCCCAAGCTGGCCTCAAACTTCTAGGCTCAAATGATTCTCCTGCCTCAAGTCTCAGTAGCTGGGCTGTGATTGCAGTTGTGGGCATGCCACCATACCTCACCCTGTCATCTCTTAAAAACCATAAAACATGCCGTTTTATTCCATGTCCTTACTCAACATACATGTCTATATTTTCAATAGAAGACTTTTTTTTGATCACTCCCATTCCGTTTTATCTTAGCTTTCTTTGGTTTGATTATTACAACAAAAATAGTTACTTTTATTCAATGGGACTGGATATGGGAAATAGGGTAGAACACTGAAATGTAAATATATAAACGTCAAGTGCCGGTTCTTTTTTCCTCTCCCATCCTAGACTTTCATTAATAAAACAAAACAATAATGGAAAGAAAAGAATGGTAGGGATGAGAGATCAGACAGTACACTGACTCTTCATTTTGAGTTATCTTCATAGCTACAGCTTACTACCCTGCTCATCTATAGCTACATTTGGCCTTGCCTTTGTATAATAGCTATTCTAGAAGAAAAGGATAAGGATTCTTAAGACTATGAAAGAAAGAATATAGATTTCGTCTCTAGAAAACAGTCTCTGGTTTCTTGATACATGGGCCATATAAAATGAATAGCAGAACATCAGTTTGTAATTCTAATCTCTCCCTTTCTCTGCCCTATCCTCTCACCCTCAATGAATAAAATTCAGGATTTAGACAGAGGAAAGCCCATTTTGTAACTGATATGACAATTTTGCCCTCAAGCATAGTAAATCAGAGTGCTGAAGAGACTTTTTTTTTTTTTTTGTACCAGGTATTGAAACCAGGGGTGCTTACCCAGTCAGCCACATCCTCACCCCTTTTTATTTTCTATTTTGAGACAGGGTCTCACTAAGTTGCCTAGGGCCTTGGTAAGTTGCTGAGGCTGGCCTCAAACTTGCAATTCTCTTGCCTCAGACTCCCAAGTTGCTAGGATTACAGGTGTGCACCACCATGTACTAGAAAATAGGAATAATTGGGTTTGTCATAAATCCTTTACCCACCCACCCCCTGCCCACAACTTACTGTTTGTTCCCTAAGTTTATCATATAGAAACTCCAAACGTTTGCTGGCATCATCTAGTTTCCTCTTGGTTTGCTATGAGAGAGGAGGAAAAAACAATGGTAATTTTCTTGGTACCAAGGGCACTTAACCACTGAACCACATTCCCACCAGCCCTTTTTATTTTTTTTAATTTTGAGAGAGGATCTCACTAAGTTGCTTAGGACCCTAAGTTGCTGAGGCTAGCTTTGAACTTGCAATCCTCCCCTGTCTCAGCCTCCAGAGCCACTGGGATTACAGATATGTGCCACCACACCCCGCCAGATGTTATATTTTAAACTTAACTTACATCTAAAGAAACTGCCCTACTCTCATTTCACTAAATCTTACACTTAACATGTTGAATGGTTTCATTTTATCAAAGAAATGGAGGCACCTATGACTGAGAAACTTAAACAAATTATTAGAAAAAATACCAGTAATCTATTTTTTTTTTAAAGAGAGAGAGAGAGAGAGAATTTTTAATATTTATTTTTCAGTTCTCGGCGGACACAACATCTTTGTTGGTATGTGGTGCTGAGGATCGAACCCAGGCCGCACGCATGCCAGACAAGCGCGCTACCGCCTGAGCCACATTCCCAGCCCCACTAGTAATCTATTAACAGTAGGGTTGTGGGAAAGAAGAGAGGATGAGATTTCTTTCTAGTGGGCAAAATGGGATACTGACTGGATTTCATGTAGACTGAAAACTCATTTGACAAGGTATGTGTATGTATAATTGCATTATTTCACAGACTTCTAGAGGCAGCAATGGGTTAGTGTACCATAGAAAAGAAGGTTTGAGTTCAGTTTTATAGTATGGGTACTAAAAGGCAAATACAGGGAACTGTGGAATCTTGTATTATTTATTTAACCTTTCAAAAATACTACTTACATTCCTATGTTTGGTACAATTAATCCTGACTTTTCAGATTCCTAAGTGGCTAGGATTATAGGTGTGTGCCACTGCGCCTAGCAGGCCACACATATTCATATTTAGTGTCTGATGAAATTCCAGAAGCTGCTTTTTTCAAGATAGACAAGTGGCCAATGGCTTAGATAAATATATTCAATGCTCACTGGCAGAAATGAAAATTCATTTAAAATAGGATTGGCTTTGTGGATTTTTTTTTTTGTCAATACACAGGCATCCTCTATGTAAACTAAGTAAAATTGTATATGACTTCCATATCTATAATATTAACTATCCTTAAGATCTTTGCATGTTGCTATTATATTCCATCATATGCTAAGAGGAGATTTGTAGATGAGAGGCAGTACAGCTTAAAGATTGAGAGTTATGAAATTTGGAGCCAGATTGTCTAGGTTGAAATGCTGCCTCTGACTTTATGTGTTATTTAACTGTCCTTTGCTTTAATTTCCGCATCTGTAAAATAAAAATAACAAATGTATCTACATGCATTATTGTGAGAATTAAGTATGTTTATACATAAAAAAATCTTTGTAATATAATGTAAACTATAAAAGCACTAGCTTTATTACTTTATACAAATTTTTTAGAAATGTATCTTGTAGAACTTCAAAAAATAACTAAGGAAGAACTCCATAAAAGACAACTTTAATTTTAATAATAAATACATACAGGATCTGTGGCTGAAGAGAGGCAACGCTGAATAAGATCCTCAAATGTGGTCTTTAGAATGAGGTGCTCATCTGGAATAGGTTTCTTAGTAATTTTTTCTGTTGGCAATGACTGCACATGCTGGAGGAAATAGTATCATAAAATGATCAGAATGACCAGAATTGTATTGTATACACCACGTTTTAAAGCTATGAAATAAAGAGAAACCAATGACCTTGTAGATAGACCTATTTGAAATCCAATGAAAATTTAACATGTACAATCAGGCGGGATAAGTAAAATGGAAAGTTATATACCGGTAGCTTTAAGTACTCTTCCTACAACTTGGATTCACATAGTAGATTGGATATAAGTAATCAACTAGTTAGATAATATATACTGTCCATTACTGTATATAACTGATGGGTAGTAAACCTGTGCCAGCAGGAATATAAACAAAGCACTGGAAAACACAGCTGGTTAGAGTGGCTGCCTGCTCTGGCTGGAGGCTCATTTTTGTTTATTTTGGCATTTTCCTACTCTTTGTTTTACTCCTAGAGATTATCAAAATTGCAAGATTAAGTCAAAGGTTAAAATGCAACAGACCATGATGTTGCTGAATGGATTGATAGAACAACAAAGAGGAACATTTAGGTTTTCTAAATTTTGACCAATTCATTCATTCAAAATATATTGGGTAATTATGTACAGGCACTGGCTAGATATGTATTGGTGAGTCAATTTAGAAAAGATCTCAGTCCCAGGGAGTTTACAGACCGATGGAAGGGATAGAAAGGTTAAGAATAGTTTAAGTGTATGTAAAATAGCAATCGTAGTAAAGTTAACACTTAGTGAAACAAAAAAGACATTAAAACTGGGATTTGACTAAAGGAAGTGGAAGGTTCTCTTCAGGAAATTATACTGGAATGATTCATAGAAGCTAACCAGAAGGAAAACACTCCAGATTGAAAGAATAACTTGTACAGGGAAGGATCATGACACAAGGGGCCCCAAAAGGGGCCAGTGTGGCTAGAGTAGAGAGAGCAAGAAGGAATATGAGCTGAGGCCTTCTGGATGATGTTAAATATTGAGGGTTTTATCCTGAAAACAATGGGAAGCTGTAATGTTTTAAGGAAATAGGAAACAAGGCCAAGTTAGAGATGAATCAAAGTAGATGTGGGCATACCGATTAGGAGGCTGTGGCATTGGTGAAGATGAGAGATAAGTAGCATGCAGCAGAGTGGAAATGTAGAGAAGGGATTAAAAAATATTTTAGAATAATATTAATAAGATTTGGGAGAAAGATTTGAAATAGAGGTTAAAGGGAAGAGTATAAAAGATGATTCCCAGGTCCTGGATTCAATAGAAAACATTATGGTGCCATTCACTGAAATAAGAAGAAATAAAGACTAGGTTTAAGAGGAAGAACATGAATAAGCTTTTGGACACATTGAGGTTGGATGCAGGCAGCTGGATATATGGCCTGGATGAACACTAAGTATCTCTTCCTTTTGATGATGACTGACATTCTGGTCTAGATGAAGACAGCATGAAAATCCAGGTCTAAATCAAGGTGACAGCTGAGTAGGTTTTTCAAATAACATGGGTTATATATCGTAAAATACAAAAATATTCTTTATAATTTGTTTTTGATGAAAGTCTTCCCACCTTCACCAAAATATGTGTTTCATAATGCACCTTACAGTATTAAACAATTCCTTGGGCATAATATCTCTTAACTGCAAAAAGCATGATAGATACATACAATCTTTAAAAAAAAATTGTAGAACTAGTTTTTCTTGTTTGTCTTTTTTTTACTTGGGCAGGAGTTTTTTTTCATCTTCTTATGTTGAAATTTGGTCCAAGCTCTTTACTTTTTAATGACTAGATCAAAATTTCTTTGAGGTCAAAGTCAATTATTTGGCAGTGTGGTAGACTTTTTCTATATCTAGGACTGTGTCAACTAGTTATCTATGTAAAAAGCAAGTAAAAATGTGTATCTCTATCCACAGATAAAGCCATGTTTATTAACATTTATACATAAAACATGTGACTCATTATATTTTTATTTAATGTTTTAAAGGGAAAACCTTTGAAACTGTTTTTTTCCTTAGTAAAATCAGGTAGAGATGATTCAAACTAATTTTAAACTGTGACTACTCAGTAGATCAAGTAAAATATTGTGATTTCCAATATATACAAACATATACTCTCAAACATATATGAAATTGCAAAATAATATACACAATCTTAAAAGAAAAGGATTACAATTTTTGGTTTAAGTTCTCTACATTGAAACCAAATTTGGATATTCATTAATAATGGTATAATCATATAAATTTAACACATTAAGGAAAATTTCCGTAAGCAGAGCCATCTTCCCATTCCACTTCCATAGATTTACTGTTACCTGGATGGTATTTCCAATTGGAGCCCCTGGAGCACCTTCAATATTGGGCTTTGAGAAAGCTGGTGGCATGCCTGTCTGACCAAGAGGTTGCTGTATACCATGGAAGTGCTGGCCACCTGCAAGATGTGGCTGTGGGAAAGAAGCTTGGTTTGACAGTGGTACTGGAGCTGAAGGTTGCTGCTGCAGCATCTGTGACTGGGGGTCACCCAAAGGATTCATGATTGGCGATGTGATGGGTACAGGAGGCGTGAAGTTTTCAGGCATCTTTTAAAAGAAAGAATAAGGATAGCATGGTTCCTAAGATTTAAACAAAGAAGTATTCCCGTGGCTAAACAATTTTTTAAAATAGTAGAATACCCTTTTCAAGTGGGAAATTTTATGTGGCATTGTAGAGTAAAACATAAAAGTAGGGCTGCAATTGTGGCTCAGTGGTAGAGCACTTGCCTAGCATGTGTGAGGCACTGGATTTGAGTCTCATCACCACTTACAAATAAATAAAATAAAGGTCCATCAACAACTAAAAACTATATTAAAAAAAACAAACAAACAAACATAAAAGTAGAGTTAATCTGGCTAAGATGGGTGGGGATCTCATCTAGATTTCTTCATCTCCCCTTTCTTCCTATACTTACACCCAATAAAGGGGAGCCAAAACCATGGCACTTTTGAAAAAGGATGTTAAGTAAGGAGAATTATATATAACAAAATGGGAATCCGATGCAAGCATGTGTGTGTGTATGTGTGTGTACATGAATGTGTATGCATATGCACATACACTAGTAGGCATTTTAATGTCATCAGGATGTAATACCCTTTTCCGAGATCACTAAGCCGATACCACTTAGCAATTCTATCATATTAAAAGTAATAGATTAAGGTTCTGATTTTAATGACCTTGTATTTTTGGATTCCTTGTTCATTTATCTCTCATTACTATATTTGGGGAAAGAGGATCACTGGGAATAGAAAAAAGTAGAAAACCGTTTGAAAAGAAAGAAAAAAAAATCTTATTTTGTGTCCAAATAGTTCCAAACAATTAATTATTCACATATAATACAGGCTGCATTATTATTCATTATTATATGAAATAGATGCGACATCCAAAATATAATTATTAAAGTCATGATTATTATGGGAACCCAAAGATTGAAGTAACTCCTAAAAAAAATAAATAATAATTTGTTTCCTACTTTTTGTGTGTGTGTGTGTGTGTGTGGTCCTGGTGACTGATCCCAGGACCTTGTGCACTGAGTTACATTCCCAGCCCCGCTCCTTTTTTAAAAATATTTTTAGTTGCAGATGGACACAATGCCTTTAAATTTTTTAATGTGATGCTGAGGATTGAACCCAGTGGCTCACATGTGCTAGGCAAGCGCTCTACCACTGAGGACCCCAGCCCTACAGTTCCAGCCCTTTTTATTTTGAGACAGGGTCTTGCTTAATTGCCCAGACTGACCTCAAACTTGCAATTTTCTTGCCTCAACCTCATAAGTACTGGGGATTACAGGCCCATGCTCCTGTGCCTACCTTGTTTGGTGGGAATTTACATCTTGCCTTCTAAAAAGGCTTTAATTTATACCACCATCATCAAAGTAAGGTTTTAATGATAGTGTTTTCTGCTTCTTGCCATTGATTAGAAGATACATGCTGAAATATGTATCTATGAAATATGCTTTAAATACATAGTAAGCTTTGCCTTTAAATGGATCAGTGAGTGTGATGTGCTCCAAGTGACTATATGATTAATATAACATCTGTAGGCCACTGGATGTCTTTTTCTAGTACCTTCTTCTTCTTGGGTACTCTATTCAAAGCTGGAGGATCATTCCAACCATTCTGAGGACCTGGAATAAATAGAGGACATTTTCCTTTAGAATTCCGAAAGAAAGAAAATGAAATTGAACCTATCATCTAATGCCTTGAAGTTCTGCCTTATCCCTGAGATAACTGAACTGTTATACAGGCTTTATGAATTGGGATCATTACGTAACACTGGATTTTCAAACTTATAACTCTAATAGTCACATGGCAAGGTATTTTGACATTATATCAATTTAAGGTGAAAGAGTTGTGCTAAATTTTAAGGAGGGTGAAGTTTTTATGTTTATACTGGTGCACAGCCTTCAAAGACCAGTTTACTATTCTCTCCTAATAAAGAAAAAAAAAAAAAACCAACTCACTTAAGTCTGCTAAAAAAAAAAAAAAGTATTCTGATGTATTCAACATACAAAAAGAACAATGGTAGCAATCTCCTACTCACTGAGAGCAATTCAACATAAGCAGATCATTCATAAATGTTCAACATGATAGAAACACTACAAAAAAAACAGAGCCCAACTACATAATACCAGTAAATTTCATTATTTTATGTTGGGAACTATGTAACAAACAGAAAAAGGTATTTAAATATCTAGGCTAAGACTTTTTCTTTTTCTTAATGCCATTAAAAAAAAATATCCAGGCTGAGCAAACAAAATGAAACTATTGTCAATTGTAGTAAATTTTCTCTAAAACCACAAAAATAAAATACAACCATACAATAACCCAAAAACACATCTGTCATATCAAAGTAAAAAAAAAATGGACATCAGTAGCAGAACTCATTGGGTATTTTATAATGCCAGCATCTTTAACAAAAAAATAAGACGGAATAGAATAATTTCTAAATCACAATATAATATACTTATTTAATTGACATGCATGATATTAAGTCACAACAAAATTGCTTGGCAATCCAAATAATTCATGTTAATGCCACAGAAACTTTTTAAAAGAAAAATTCCCAATCACCACATACTCATTTGCTTTGATTTTTTAAGCAGAATTAATTTCCTACAAGTTTACCAAGAACCAAATACTCCATAAGGCTCAAAACACTTAAGAGTTAATCACAAAATATTAAATCATTGCTTAATAAATTCTTAAATGTTCAGTCACAAACAGATTAATCATTCAAATCTCTCTCCATCATTTATCTTCTTATCTGTGTCTAAAACACTGAGTTTAGTTGTCTTTGTTTATATAAGAGTCATATTTTATGATTAAAGCTATTTGTGTCATATAAATTCAATCAGTTCTAAAGTTTGATTCAATTAAGAAGACAAATAAAAAAGGGCACTAATCAGATTTGGAATATCACAATCTTTGAAGCTCACATGCATAATGGCCATTCATTAACTGTATTCAATGATTCAAAGATTTCCAAAGGTATATTTTACAACCAATTCACCTTCCAACATAGGTGCCTGGTCTTGGATAGACTGATTTTCTGTAGACAAAACGTAAAAATCACTTAAATAGAACTGTTGAAGATATTCTAAACTCTACTTCTCATTTTATAATTGTTTCTTCTTCTTCCATCAACCCCAGAAAAAGCAAACTAACTTTATAAGAGAACAAAAATTACTTTTTAAACAAGTCATGTGAAATTTTTCTATCCAATTAAGAAAATAATTATTAGTTTTTAGGTAAAGTGAATTCATTTAAGTTGTGCCAGATACAATTACTCTTGAACATCACTCTTTTTTTTTATTACTATGCTCTTTTAATAGAAAACCTTATTCCTTTATTTAAAATAACAATAGCTCCTTAATTGCTTACATTGGTTGTTTTTCTATTTGACAAATGAAGCCAAGTAATATCACTGAGAAGACACTTCCCAATATATTACTCCTAATTATACCATATGACACCAAATGTGTCCACTTTTGTATTATTCAAAGTTGTAAATCCAAATTAGAGAAAAATCTTATTTAAATGCAGATTCTAATTCACTAGGTAAAGTGGTAAAGCCTAGAGGTTCTCTTTTCTGACAGCTCCCCTGTAATATCAATGCTGTTGGTCTAACACTCTCTTCAAGTAAGAACACGTGGATCTTCAGACTACTTAGTTCAAGTCTCCTAGATCACTACACTTCAGAGAACTGAAGTTTCTATCAATAAAGAAGAGGAAAAAAGTCTATCAATAAAGAAGAGGAAAACAGATTGATACTAGCACAATAATTCCAACTGATAGATTCTTAGAATCAAGCTAGGTCCAACCTCGAATTGAAAATGTGCAGCATAGTACATCATATGCAATATAACTTATGTAGATTCAACTATCTTAATTTGGCAAGGAAGGGACCAACAGACTATAGCAATTAAAACAGTGAATTCAACTCTGTGCCATAGTGACAAAATACATGCTCCAAAAAAAACATGAGATGGGAAAGGTAATTCCATAGCCTCAATTCTTGCTATGTGGAAGGAGATTCTGGTGTTTAGTGATGGATGTTTTTCATACAATATGGTTGCTAAACATAAGGCAATTTCTTCATCTAGGGTTTAACAAAAGAAAAGAGTGACAATAACTGCCTATAAGTGATTTTCTATTTTTACTTTAAATGGCAACTTTACAATCTAACTTCCCATGCAAAATGTAACTTCATAACACTATAATTAATAGTGTTAACTCCTGGGGAGTCACTACGTGTGCATTTCAACAGACAAAACCTAATTTCCAACTACTGATGTGCTCTATCCCTATACTTCAGGCTTTTGGGCTGAGGGGAACAACATATTACAAATCTAAAAGTACCCTGGGCTTGGCTCTTTTCCCAGAGAATAGTCTCAACAACATGCCTGTTTCCTTGTCCTTTTGTGTCTGACTTATTTCACTTGGTATAATGTCTTCAAGAGCCATCCATGTGGTGTAATACAGAGACATGTGGAAAATGAGAACTATTTTTCCTCTAACCTCTAGTGGTAAGTCCTGGGTATAAACACCTGGGAGGGGATTCTGATTTCATAAATTATTAATAGTATAAAGAAGTATATGAAAACAAAACAAAACAAAAAAACAAACATAGAGCCAGGCAGGGTGGCTCACACCTATAATCCCAGCAACTCACAAGTTCAAGGTCAGCCTCAGAAACTTAGTGAGGCCCTAAACAACTAAGCAAGACCCTGTCTCAAAAACTGAAAAACAAACAAAAAACCTCAAAAAATATGGGGTGGGGGTTGGGGATATAACTGAGTAGTAAAGTGCCTCTGAGTTCAATTCCCAGCGCACCCCCCCCAAAAAAAAAGTGTATGGAGCAATTTTTATTATCCTTTGGTAAATGACACTAATGACACTAATGTCATAGTGAAATAAAGTTCAAAGTTAGAGATAAAACTGAATCAAATAAGAACAAAGACAACAAGAAAGTCAACTGGCTATGCCTGAATGAATAACCTGAAAGGGAGAAGGTCTGTTGAACAGAATAGTTATAAAATAATCAAGCTCCCTCCACAATACAGGCCCAACCGACTCCTCCTAACTTCAAACCATGTAATATATTTAACATGTAATACAGAGACATGTGGAAAATGAGAACTATTTTTAGTTCAAATAAATGTTATTCAAATCTTTTATCAAATAATATAGTTTATGGGCTGGGGTTGTAGTTCAGTGGTAGAATGCTTGCCTAGTACGCATGAGGCACTGAGTTTGATCCTTGACATCACAAAAAAATAAATGAGATAAAGGTATTCTGTTCATCTACAACTAAAAAAAAATTTTTAAGTAAAAATAAAAAATAATACAGTTTTGCCAGGCACAGTGGTGCATGCTTGTAATTCCAATGGCTCAGGAGGTTGAGGTGGGAGGATCACAAGACAAGTTCAAAGCCAGTCTCAACAAAAGTGTGGCACTAAGCAACTCAGTGAGACCCTGTCTCTAAATAAAAAACCAAATAGAGCTGGGATTGTGGCTTAGTGAGTTCAATCTCTGGTCACCCAACCCCAAAAAATATGTATATAGTTTTGTCCTAGCTATAATTCTAACTCCTTTCAACTTTTCATTTTTATGACTTTAAGCAGATTATTTAAACATGACTTTACAAACACAATTTAGCTGACATCTACTTTACAAAAGTAGTCTTTAATAGTGAGAGGAGGTAAAACAAGCTTCATGAAGCACATGACTTGAAGACATTATACCAAGTGAAATAAGTCAGAAAATGCCAAATGTTGCACAATTCCACTTATGTCAGGTACTTAGAAGAGTGAAATACATAGAGACAGAAAGCACAAGAGCACCTATTGGAGGCTGGTAAGAATGGGAAGTTATTGCAGATAAAACAGGTACTCATTATCAGTTTACCAAATGAATGTTTTGCTTAGTACAGAATTTGTTTCTCTAAGCCCTGCGCACATAATGCTATGGTTCATTAAGAGAAGGCTTGAAAATCTGTACATCTATCATGCATTATCTATAAGTTATTATCCATTAGCCAACAATAATTTCTAAATCCTGGAGAAAAATCATGACCTAGACATTAGACCAATACAAAATTTCTAGTCACAATTATTTATATAACCTAAGCAAAATGTTTAGGAAATCCAAAAAGCTAGAATTGATTATTAAAAAAAATATGAGACTGTTAACATGCAAGAGTAACAAAGCAGCTAGGCATACATGCTGAAAAATGCTTGTTTGTTTGGCTTTTTCTTCTCATTAGTCACTGTTTCTCAGCCAGGTTATAATACTGTGTTATTCTGTATATAATTAAGGATTAAACTCATGCCAAATGCACTTCAGCTTAAGTAAAAAAAAATATACTCAGGTACTTGGTTTTGATTATAAAGTAACAAATGCTCAGAACTGTATTGCTAGATGATTTTTGTAATTTCAACCCCAAAATTTTGATATCACTAGAATAACTGGTATAGAAGTATGAACACAGGCTTTGAAACTGAGAGACCCAGGTTTGTATCTCAACTTGAGAGACTGTCACTATAACAATCCTGAGAACATTATGTAACTCTTAAAACTGGTTCCTTGTTTGCAATTAAAAAACAAAAACAAAAGCCAACAACAAAAACCATTCCTATTTGTTGGGGTCGTAAGAATGAAATAATAAAATATATAGCAAGTGCTAGATTATGTCCATAATTGGCTCAATAAATGTTCATACCCTTCCTTACTTCCTTGTACTACTCTTTCTCCACCCCCCCTCCCTCGTACTAGGGATTGAAACCTGGGGTACTTAATCACTGTGCCAAATCCCCAGCCTTTGTTTTATATTTAATTTAGACACAGGGTCTTGTTGAGTTGCTGAGGCTAGCTTTGAAATCTTGATTCTTCTGCTTCAGCCTCCTGAGCTGCTAGGTTTAAGGTGTATGCCACTACACTTTGCACACTGCACCACTTTTTTAAGTGAGGATTTACATGAATCCATACTACTTCTTTTACTCAATAACTCTGACCATTAATCCATTATTCAGAATGGACACTGTCTTCACTTATTCAGGTTTAAAAAGATATTTTTGGAACTCTACAATGAACTGGCACCCCTCTTGAAAATATCAAACTATTGAAGTGTCTGTAGTGTATTAATGAAATTTTGTGTAGTAATGGACAATGCACATACATTAGTCCTCTCTCATTAACATTTCCATTTCCTTTGGTTTCAGTTACCCATGGTCAATCTTGGCCTAGAAATATTATATGGAACATTAATAATTCATAAATAATTGTGAAATAAATAATGCAAAAGTTTTGAATTGTGTCTCATTCTGAGTAGTCTGAAAATTTTGTGCTGTACTGCTTTGTCTGGCCCCATACAACCAGAGATGTGAATCATCCCTTTGTCTAGGGTATCCTTACTGTATATGTGACTGCCAATTAATCATTCAGTAGCCCTTCTGGTTATGAGATCAATTGTCATGGTGTTGCAGCACAAAAGTAGCAATGCTGGCAATTTTATTAGTTTATTGTTATTGTTGTTCTATTTTATTATTAGTTACATTTTTGTGTGTGCATGTGTGTGGTACTGGGATCAAACCTAGGGGCACTCTACCACTAAGCTATATCCCCAGCCAATTTTATAATTTTGACGAAGGGTCTCACTAAGATGCCCAGGTTGGCCTTGAACTTGAAATCTTCCTTCCTTTATCTCCTGAGTTGCTGGTATTACAGGCATGTGCCACTGTGTCTAGAGTTTTAAAATTTTTTCATTTTGAGACAAGGTCTCAATAAGTTGCTGAGGCTAGCCTTCATTTGTGATTCCTCTGCCTTGGCTTCCCAAGCTGCTGGGATCACAGGCATATGCCATCATGTCCAACTTATTAGTTAATCTGTTAATCTCTCATTGTGCCTAACTTATAAAAGTTTTATCAAGGTATGTACAGGAAAAAAAAACAATACATATGTGGTTGATACTATGGGTACTTTCAAGTATCCACGGGGGATCTTAGAATGTATTCTCTACAGCTAAGGGGAGAGGACCACTATAGTATACCGTGTGTATGATTTTTTTTATTCTCTGGATTTTATTATTACATGTCAGAGAAGGAGCAAGGAGATGTGTAAAACTGGGATCAATTATCCCTAAGACTTAAAAAGTAGTAATACTTTAAAAATACTTTATATTCAATTTTTAAGTCATATTATCAGAAAAAATATTTCCACAATAGATTTTATTTTCTGATAAATAAATAAATTATAAATTAAAACCACTGCTTAGCATATATGATGAGAAAAGCATATGCTGGACTCCAGGAGAGTTTTAAGTATTAGAGTAAAGCAGGTCTTACTGTTCAAAACTATCAGTTATAATTTAAAAGGAAAACTACTTTCAAATAATCATACCTAACTTTAAAAAGTTCTTAGTACTTGGCAGTCATTGTCCCTAAATGCTTTGACTTTATTAAAGCATTCAATTCTTGTAATAAGCATATAAGTGGGTACCATTATCATTCTTTGAGAAAACTGAGGCTTCAAGAAGGTAAATAAACAACTCACAATCACAAAACTAGAATGATCATAAAACTAGAACATAGTAAAGCTGGGAACTGGGATACAAACCTAGGCAATCAAATTCCAAGGCCATATTTCTTAACCACTTTGTAAGTGGTTCTAACTCCTATTTGATTAACTGGTTTCTTTCTTTACACACACATACTGGAGGCCCCTTTTACTATCCTTAAGTGAAAAGCACATAACAGAGGCTGGGGATGTGGCTCAAGCCGTAGTGCGTTTGCCTGGCATGCGTGCGGCCCGGGTTTGATCCTCAGCACCACATACAAACAAAGATGTTGTGTCTGCCAAAAACTAAAATAAATATTAAAAATTCTCTCTCTCTCTCTCTCTCTCAAAAAAAATTCTTTAAAAAAAAAAGCACATAACATAAACCATAAAAAAATTAACATACTCTAGGTATAATACAAATGAATGATAAAAAGAATTTATAAAATGTGCATTTCACTGCTAAACAATGATAGGTAAGCAATATGATGATTAAATCAACTAGCTTGATTTAATCATTTCCACATTGCATATATGCATCAGAATATCACACTGTACCCCACAAATATATACAATTATGACTTGTAAATCAAAAATACTATTAATAAAAATATATAGTTTGCTAAAAAATTATAAAGTTATGATCTTAATTAGAAATGTTCAGCTACAATAATACTAGTAGACAAAAAAATATGTCTACAAATTTCCAAAATGCCTGAAGAGGGCAGTATTTCCCTAATGGAGAACCACTATCTTACTGTATGACAACTAAACTGTCTTGTAGGATCTCCTTGTCAAGAGCTGTATTCTCTTAATTTTTTTCTTGGTCAAGGATACTGAGATTACTCTGCAACCCCACAAATAAACACTATTATAAAATTTGTACAAACTCATTAAGACCATATATTATTTCCTTTCCATTAATGAATTTAAGGTGCAAATAATTTTTAAAATTGAAAAACTTTTCAGGAAGAACAGAGGTCACCCTTTATTCAAGTAAAGAATTTAGTGTTAACTAAATCTGATTTCAACTATAACTTATCTTTCCAATTAATTCCTTACCACTTAACTTAAGTTCAATGGCAGATTATACACTCTTACTCTTTTGGAGCTCTAAAACTTTTCTCAATTGATAACTGAAGTTCATTATGGGAGAATCAGTTTTAGAATTTTTAGAAATCATTTTAGAATTTGTTATAAAAGCTCAACACTTCTATTACCCAGTTTACAAACAGAAATAATAGCCCCTCCACCCACCCATCTGTTCATAAAAACATCAGGGAGCCAAACCAAAGCCCTTCAAGCGCAGACCTGTTCTTTGGGACGCAGGCAGCTCACTGGCAGCAGGCAGTGTACCTGTTGTTCCAGGAGGCAGTGCATAAGCTGAAGATGATGGTGGAGCTCCTGGTCCGCCATGCTGGAAGGATGCTCCAGAGGAAGGGGGAGGAGGGAAAGAAGCAGCAGGGCTGGAGGTAGGTGAAGAGGCCTGGTGCTGTGGTGTGTATAGCTGAGACTGCCCAGAATAGGAAGAAGCAGAAGATATGTAAGGGGTGTTAGGGTAAGCGTTTGAAGCAGGAGGAGCAACAGGCTGCTGAGGTCGATACATTGCTGACCCCCCTGTTCCGAAGGAATACTGCTGGGCTGGTTGATAAACTATACCAGGGAGAAGAAACAGAAATTTTAATTAGTTACAAATTTATTCAGATAGCAACAGAAAACCAAAAATTATCATTCTATGGAAATGATTTTAATCATTACAATAAATTAAAACCCCAAATTAACACTTATGTGCTGGGGTATAACTTGGTGGTACATTGATTGCCTAGTATATATGAAACTCTGGGTTCTATCTCCAGCACAGTAAGAAAAACCCCAAACAACAACAAAAACAACTCGTGCTTTCTGAGGCTCAGATGCCCGAAATATGCTCAAAATCATTAGCTCCAGTATTTGAAAACTGCCACACCCAGATTGCTATTGATTATGAAAATCTTTGAACCGAAGAGCTAGAAGACCTTTTTCTAATTTCACTGTTTCTGTGAGAAGATTGCAGTTATACCCACTATTCATCAGATGGAACTATGCAAGATGTACTCAACCTGAGTGAGTATCAGCATTTTGGTGGTCCTGTAAGACCTCCCTGATTTTAATCCCTGACCCAGATTAGGGGGACAGATTAGGGGAATTTTAACACCATCACATTCTAGGTAACCAGGGGTACTTTTGAACCTCTATAGAGTGAATCTTGAAGTACTGTGAAGACAGTACTTCTATACTGAGTACACGAGTGAAAGGTTTTATTAAACTTGTATTCATAAGAACAACTACTTTAGCACAGAACACACTCATTAGAATTAGTTCTTACTCTTTTCTATTAAAAAAAACATGCCAATAGTAGATACATATCATTATACATTTGTCAAAGCCCATGGAAGGTACAAAATCAAGAGTACACACTAACGTAAACTACATAATTTGGGGTGATAACAAGGCACTGATGTAGGTTAGCTGATCTGCAACAAATAATCTCCTGTGGTGGGAAATGTAGATAATAGGGAGATTGTGCCTCGTGGGCACAACGTACTCTCTGCTTAATTTTGCTGTGAACCTAAAACTACTTAAAAATACAAAGTCTATAACACTAAATGAATACAACAGAAAAAAACAACAAATGCCCCTTGAAGTCAATCTTCCAAAATGCTTTGTGTTATCATTCCTAAAGGAAAAGAATGTGTGCCAAATTGTTTCTAAAATTCTATTTCTTTATACCAAAATCATGGGACACTTGACTCCCTTTAACAGGTCTTAATAATAGCTTCAGAACAGGAGGCAACTGTTCCAAAAGAGTAATACAAGAAGTTCTTCTATAATAATAGAAGCATGCTGATTCAGGATGCCTCTTAGGGAAACCATGTTTCTCTAGAACCCCTCTTCTAGACAGGAGTTCCTATTTAGGACTCCTATCAGAATGGTTCTTACTTTATTTGTCAAAATTTACTTGGCCTTGGCTTTAGTGCTTCAGAGTAAATAGTTACTACATGAAATAAGACATGTTGCTATCAAGACTTCAGGGTCACATTACTTACGCTGTGGCTGTGGATAAGGTGGTACCTGGGTGTGCATATGACCTGGAGATGTAGGAAGCTGAGTAGCAGCATTTGGATTAATATTTTCATGCATTACAAAACCTGGGGGTGGAGGATTTTCTCCCTACAAAATGAAAAAATAGTAAAAAGGAGGATTACATTTGAGACAAAGAACCTTAACAGATGGCTTTATAATCCCTGAAATGGGATTCCATATTTATTTAGAAAACTAGCCCCCACAACTTTATAGTGTAAGAAGCACTGGATTTTGCATGTACTATCTACAGGATACCATATTTTCTAAGCAATGTATTTTGAATGATTTAAAGATCAGACGATCCAAAATAATTGTAATGAATGACAAAAGATGCTAACAGCCTCATAAAATAGTGTCAATAAATTGATGGTAAGTCACCAGGATTTTCCATCTCTACAAATTTCCATCCATTACTCCACACTCAGCAAATATAAATATAAATATTATAATTAGCTTTCTTCAGTTTCTGCAATGCTAAAAAAAATTTAAAAAAAAAAGAAGAAGAAGAAAGAAAAAAAAAGAAGTCTTTGGTAAAAATCAGATTTAAATCACTGTTAGAGCCTTTGCTGATATTTTTTTAGCTCAGGTCAATTTAGAACTGCAAAAGTAGAGGTAGGATAAGGACATAAATTGCCTTAAATATTGTCTCTTGCATCCTAAAAGCAATAAAATGCAATAAATAGGATGCAGAATAAGGGTGGGGTAAATTGAGGAAGTTGGGTAGAAGATATAAAACCACATATATTTAGGTGAGCAGAGTCCTGCTCAAAGAGGAATAATGAAGGATATACCTGTGTGTCAGAGGGAGAGGCTGCAGGTGGATGGCTGGGAAGGGCAGTAGGAGTTTTGTTACTCCAGGTAGTAACAGTAGGGGCAATTCTAACCTGAATTGAACAAAGAAATACCAATCACAGAAAATAAAAAATGAAAACATTAAAAGAAGAAGGTAAGAAAACTCAAAAGGTATTAATAGCTAGATGCAAAGCAAAAAGTAAGAGCAGCAAGGGAACATATATTAGGCAACTGCTTTCAATTTAGCTGGGATTCCAAAAGAAAAATAATCACAACAAAACTGGGAGGGAAAGGCACGAAAAAAATCAATATGAAAACCAAATCAAAACACAGAAACAATGCCATTCAAGTATCAAGAATAAGTAGGGAAAGTTTGGTCCTATAAGTATGGTAAGAAAGACATTCTAAAAAATGAGTAAAATAGTGATTTTTGAAGCATTAATAGTACCCATGCTACTAATAATCTGTAAACATACTGCTTATAAGCTCCTTTTTTTTTTTTTAAATTTCAGCAGAGCCACAAAATTCACCTTAGTCCCATGCAAGGCTTAAAAACCACACAATCATTGAGAATATTAAAACTAAATATTATAGATCACCCAGAATAATCCCCACCCTTTACCATTAAGAACCCAAGGCCCAGAGATGTGAAGGGGCTTGTCAAGATCCATACAACTCACTGGTCATGAAGCTTGGACCAATTCCAGGTCTCCCAAATCCCAGGATAGTGTTTTCTATACCATATCATATTGCTTACTCGGAACTCTAGTGATTTTCCATTATTTTTCAAGTCATTAAAATCCTTTTTGTCATGTAAATCTTTAGTGAAACTCCTTCTAATCTAGCCTCCCTTTTAACCTTTACCTGCCTGTAAACTTGTTTTAAAATTGTAAGCCACTGTCTTCATTCATTCAGCATATATAAGCTTCAACCCTGAAAACCACTGCTTGACTTATGGTACAATTTATTTTTATGTTCTTAAAATATAAGATGGGTAAATCAAAGTGTAACAAACATCCTCCAATGTTTTTACCTTTTCCCAGAAAGACAAATGAATCCAAAGACATAAAGAGTAAACATTCTCTCTTCCCAATGTAGAGCTTACTTACCTTACTTCAGTAACCTGAGAGGCAGTCTAGCCTAAATACAGAGTGCTTGAAAGTTGTAATCCAAACTTGGCCATTAAGCAGCCACACAATGTTAAGAAATTAAAACTCTCATGTCTTAAAACTCTGGTGGTTGCTTGACAACCAGGCTTCTCAATTTTCCTAGCCATCATCTGATCTGCCCCACTTAGGTCACAGACTTTCTAATACAATCTCCACAAGGATAGGGATTTTGTATAAATTGTTCACCAGGATACTTCCAATTACTAGAAAAATGTTAGGTACTCACAGTAGGTCTTGATAAACAAAATGAATAAAAAAATAGAGTGTTCTAGGCAGTTAATAGTTATATACAAATGTAATCTGTCCTGATTAAATAATAAAAGTTTTCTATGATTTTATATTAAACTTTGGGATAAAATATAAAAAGGTCCTGTCAATCCTATCACCAATTTGCTCTATTAGGCAGGGTATCTTTGCTATCAGTCAAGACTAATTGATACTTAAGGAAAAAACTTTTCATTTAAGGACATGAAGGCTATCTGTTGGTCTGGAAATATATAATTTTTTACATGAACCAGTAAAAAGACAATACAACCATATTTTAAATATCAGTTATTTAAATAAAAACAAAAATTATTAATCCTTTCTATGTGACCTCCAACTTCATAAACCTTCAGTAAATTCACTATTCTCTATTGTTCAAGTTGTCCAAAAGAAAAAAGTTCATATTCTGGATATTAGCTATTGTATGGATTGAGAAAATAAAGTAAACCTATGCTATTAATGGAGAAAGAATGCTTAAAAAGGCTACTTTCTAAAAATAGTTTATAAAATTAACTAAATCACTATTAGGATTAATTCTGCTACTTAAAGCTTGTTAGATGAATCAAATAGAAGTTTCAAGAACAGAGGTACATGTGTAAGGAAAGCCTAACTCAGAGAGAAACAACAAATTTCCCTAGAGGGCTTAAACCTAATTTATATCTAAATTATAATCTGTTTAAATAGATTAAAAGGATTTTCAAATGCAGATCAGAAATACCACTTTCAAGAATCTAGAAAGTATAACTGTTAACACAATATGTTATCTACTTTAACCACATCAGAACATCTTTTAACCAACAATCTGAAACTATCAATTTGAATTGAAATGCATAAATGTTCCCACTTCATCTGGACTACATTACTCACATGGGGATAATATTGTTGAGTTTGAACTCTTTGCATCTGTGGGTGGCCAGCAATTGGTCCAGGCCTGCCCTTAGATAGCTGCTGCCTCTCGTAAGGAATTTTAGGTGATTCCTGTCCTGGTATAGGCTCTCCTTGTGCTCTACAAAGTCTGTTGCGAAGCTGCACAATGTTTGGCTATAAAAAGCAATGAATGGAAGAAAACAAAACAAATAAAGTTCAGTCAACTTTATGATAGCGTGCTGATTTTCTTAAAGCAATCTAATCATTCAAGAGATTCACTTTTTGTTCACATGCCATGAATGCTACAACAGACCCTGACACTTGAGGACTCAATTCATGTTTCTAATATGACTGGCACTAAACATCCATGACATATAGTACAACTTGTAATTTAACTGAGGGAAGAAACCTACTGGCCCAGAAGATATTTTTGAAATATACTAAAATTTTAAGACATCAGGGCTGGGTTGTGGCTCAGCTGGTAGAGTGCTTATCTAGCACGTGTGAGGCGCTGGGTTTGATTCTCAGTACCACATAAAAATAAATAAATAGATAGATAAATAAAGGTATTGTGTCTAACTACAATTAAAAAATAAATATTTAAAAAAACTGTAAGGCTTCAAATTTAGATCTGTAGCTTGTACAGATCTACAATTATACACATTTACAAGTTACCCATTATATATACAGTTAACATATATATTGACCATATATATGTTCTAGGTGTTAAAAAAAAGCAATATGCTAAAATATTCCAGAAATATTTTTAATATCTTTTTTTTAGAAATAATATTATTCCCTCCTCCCATGTACATATTACTTCTCAGAAACATGAAGATATTATCCATGTCCTCATCAATTACAGTATGTAGAAATAAATAACTCATATCCTGCGAACAATATATTCTCTATCTTTTTAAAACAATAGACATTTTTTTTTAATGTTAGTTCAAGAATAGTTTCAAGTTTTATTACTTGGATCAAATCAATATAGTCTTTGTTTACAGGTAACTCCCTCACCCCAACCCCTAAAAATAATTTCTGTATCCTAAGTGATGAGTTTTTCTTGTACATTCAGCAAACTTTATATTAGAAAAGAAAAAGAATAATTGAGATAGGTATTTACTCTCGTGAACGGTAATAAATCTAGCTGAGGTTCTACGCCTTGCTTTGCAATGATGTTTGCATAAAATAAATCACCTCTTATCAAGTTACAATGGTAATTTCTTGAAATGTAGATATGAAAGCAATACACTTCTAAAAAATATATATAATCCTATAAATTTGTAAAAGGTTTAAAGTGGCCATTTACTTTCAAGATATTATCAGGCATGGTGGTGCAAACCTGTAATCCCACTAACTTTGGAGATTTGAGGCCTGCCTGGGAGACTTAATGAGGCCCTGTTTCAAATAAAAAAATTTAAAAAGGGCTGGAAATGTAGTGGTAGAGTATCCTATGTTCAATGGTAGAATTATATACTACAATGATAACACAAAGTTATTGACATGTTCTTCAGAAAATGCAGGGTCTGTTGATATTTAAGAGGAAGTAACATCAATATTATGCCCATTTGCTTAAAGAATATCCTTTAAAGTCCAAAGAAAAGATTAAGAATAATGTATCAGACATGCATGTGATTATAAATCATACTAAAAATAAAACATTTACTCTTAAGACCAGATGATCTAAAGGTCTCAGATTAAGTTGATCTTAAAATAAAGGGTCTTTTATCTCAACATAACAATCAGCCCTTACTAAATAAGAGTTTTATAAACTATTGTGGAAAAGTCACCATATATTTCTGTTCTATCTAATATTCCTATTAGCAATTTAGAAGGATATGAGCTGAATCCTACAGTTAAGTATATATAAAACCAACTAGTTAATCATACCCACACAGTTACAGAGTGTACGTGTATTTTTACTTAATAAAGCTTATTGATAATTCCCTAGAACAGATAAAATACTAAAAACAAATGACAACAAACAAACAAACAGACAGACAAAGAAAACCTCCATATATGCTCCAGAACTGTGTAAGCATGACTATCTAGTTGGTAAAGCACTTGTATGATGACATGGGCTTGATCCCTAGTACAGCAAAAAAAAAAACCAACCCCCAAACCAGAAAAAAACAAAAGACAAAATAAAATTATAAACAGTACAGATGCAATAAAATGTCTGCAAGGCTCCAAATCAAGCTCCATCAAACATAAAATACAGACATAAATATCCTACTTATGGACAAGTTTCCTCAAGTCCTACCATTCTTGATCTGGATTAAACTTTCCCTTTCTGGTGTTCCCATAGCATCACAGTATTTTTACTTTTGGAATCGCATTTACTATTTTAAAGCCTTCAAGAACTTGGCAATCTGTTCATTATTCTATACCCAGTCACTTGTTGAATTAAAACAAATATTAAAAAGTCTGAGTTTCTCTGTATATCAAAGAAGGACAATAAACTAGAAGGAATAGAGTCTACCCTACCTCGAATACTTAAAAAATATTCTTGCCCATAAACAGTATCAAATTAAAACAAAATGCACAATGAATTTCATCACTAGTATTTGGGGTGACACATATGGGAATTTAAAATTTTTAACAATCTAATTTTCTGAATTAACATTTATAGCTTTTCAACATAAAAGATTCCTACAAAGAATATATTTTTTCTTTTAGTTATACGTGCACATAATACCTTTATTTTATTTATTTATATGTAGTGCTGAGGATCGAACCCTCACACATATTAGGCGAGCGCTCTATCGCTGAGCCACAACTCCAGCCCCCTACAAAGAATCTTATATGAAGAATTAGCTTTAGAAACGACAAGTTAGTCTTTTCCTCTTTCAGTCCTAAAGTACTACAAATACAAAGGGATCTATCATACCTCAAAACATTCTCTCTCTGACACAGCATGGATACATCTAAAATGATCCTTGAAGAATATCAATAGCATTTACCTATAGTTAGGTGATAGTAATTCAACTGCTCCATAACATTCACCTACTAGTATGTATATATTTAATACCAAGAGCTATCTACTGGACTCTACTCATTTATACATTAAAAAAAAGAAGATAAGTTGTTAATCCTAATTACCTGGTTGGTGTTGTCAGGAAGAAAAGCCAAGGCTGCAGCAATACTGCCCTGGGCTGCCAACAAATTGGCATACTGACTCATCTTTTCAGCCAAGAGAACTCCTACAGTATTAGTGTCCATGGCTTGCGTGAGTTGTACAGCTTTCCGCAGGATGACAACTTTCTCGATTAGATCCTAAGTGAGAAAAGGAAGGGAGTGTGAGAGATACCAAGACCATGCATATGAGAGGAAGCAGAAAAAAACAGTTACTGATTTCCAAAACTTCCTGAAAGTACAGCACCTATTCAGATCCTTGTTTAAATATATAATATATGAAATAACTGCTGACCACTATGTAGGTAATTAAAATAGAAGTAAGGAGAAAGAAGGTCTTTTTTTACTCATGGACAGGGTATAGGTCACCACCTTCTCCCAAACATCCTTAAGCTGCCAGATACTTGTAATCTAAAACAAACAAAACAAAGTAAAAAACAGGCAGATATTCAAAGTTCCTAGCATGCAAAAGAGGAACTATGAGTGAAAACATCTTTCCATCTATCCTCTAAAACTATTACTACTATGAAATGACTCATAGACAAGGGCACATGACCTCCAAAGGGACTTGGTATATGCTATCATTTGGATCCTGATTTGGAGCCTTGCAGACATTTTATTGTGTCTATACTGTTTATAATTTTATTTTGTCTTTTATTTTTTCTGGTTTCTTTTGCTATACTGGGAATCAAGCCCAAGTTATCCTACATGTTAAGCAAGTGCTTTACCAACTAGATAGTCATGCCCACACAGTTCTAGAACATACAAGTCCATGTATTGAAGGCTTGGTCCCCAGGGTGGTGCTATTGAGAGGTTATGGAACCTTTAAGAGGGAGGTCTGCAGGTCATTGGGGCATGCCCTTGAAGGGGACTGTGAAAAGGGACTTTGTTTTGCTTCCTGGCTCATGCTGTAAGTGGTCTGCTCTGCCATGCATTCCTGGAGCATGTGCTACCCTTTCCAGAGGCCCAAAGCCATTGACTATCCAATTTTGGACCCAAACCTCCAGAACCATGAGTCAAAACAGTTTCTCTTTACTATCCCATATATTTCATTATAGTAATGCAAAGTTGACTAAAATATTATTGTGACTCAAGTTCCTCAAGTTGCTTTTCAATACCAATTCTTTCTGCAAGGGTAAGCCAAACTCCAGGTAGAATGCATAAGAATGTCCTACCCACTTGCCCTTTACAAGTACACAAGCTAAAAAGTATAAAAAAGGGCTTTTCTCTAAGAAGTACTTGGAAAATCTTGGTGTCCTAATTGATTTTTTGTTTCAACAGAATGATCATACTGATAAAATCTCTTTCCAGAGAGGAAAAGAAATATTATACTAAAATACAGTGAGACTCTGCTCGTTAAATTCTTTGGGGGAAAAATATATATATATATATATATTTACACAGTACCTGAGAACAGTCACCAATTTTTACTTTCTCTCTTGCCTGGTACTGGTGCTACACGGAATTCCATTTACCTATTACTTTCATTTTCCCTTAACTATGAAGATTTTCGATTGGTATTGAGGATGTCTCCTATTCCTTAGCCCATTACTTAATCCTTGCTTCTTTCCTTGCCCAAGGCAAAGGGAGTCAATGAAGGCAAAAGAATCATGAGGAAAAAGAGGCTATTTTCAGTGTTCCTGTTACCTGCTTCCCCCAATAAACTGCCAAATCACAACCTTGATTTTATAAGCAGCTGCAACCCCATTTTACTATACTATTATCTCAAACTTTGCTTCTTCAAAGATTGCATATAATTATCCAGTAAAAATTTTCTAGGGACTGCAATTGTGGCTCAGCGGTAGAGCACTTGCCTACCATGTATGAGGCACTGGGTTCAATCCTCAGCACCACATAAAAATAAAGATTAAAAAAAAAAAAAAGAAAAAACTTCCAGAAGGTAAATAAGTAGGGTGAAAGCAATAATTTTATAGAACAAAAGGACTTCTAGACTATAACTTGCTCATAAGTAAGATGAAAGAAAACATCAAGAAGTAAGCACTTTTTTGTTCAAAAATACTAACCTGGCAGCCACTATGAAGTCAAACAACAACAAGTGCTGGTGAGGATGTGGAGAAAAGGGTACTCTTGTACATTGCTGGTGGGACTGCAAATTGGTGCGGCCAATTTGGAAAGCAGTTTGGAGATTCCTGGGAAAGCTGGGAATGGAACCACCATTTGACCCTGCTATTGCCCTTCTTGGACTATTCCCTGAAGACCTTAAAAGAGCATGCTACAGGGATGCTGCCATATCGATGTTCACAGCAGCACAATTCACAATAGCTAGACTGTGGAACCAACCCAGATGCCCTTCAATAGATGAATGGATAAAAAAAAAGTGGCATCTATATACAATGGAGTACTATGCAGCAATAAAAAATGACAAAATCATAGAATTTGCAGGGAAATGGATGGTACTAGAGCAGATTATGCTTAGTGAAGCTAGTCAATCCCTAAAAAACAAATACCAAATGTCTTCTTTGATATAATGAGAGCAACTATGAACAGAGCAAGGAGGAAGAGCAGGAAGAAAAGACTAACATTTAACAGAGTCATGAGATGGGAGGGAAAGGGAGAGAAAAGGGAAATTGCATGGAAATGAAGGGAGACCCTCATTGCTATACAAAATTACATATAAGAGGTTGTGAGGGGAATGGGAAAATAAACAAGGAGAGTAATGAATTACAGTAGATGGGGTAGAGAGAGAAGATGGGAGGGGAGGGGAGGGGGGATAGTAGGGGATAGGAAAGGTAGCAGAATACAACAATTACTAATTGGGCATTATGTAAAATTGTGGATGTGTAACCGACATGATTCTGCAATCTGCATTTGGGGTAAAATTGGGAGTTCATAACCCACTTCAATCTAATGTATGAAATATGATATGTCAAGAGCTTTGTAATGTTGTGAACAACCAATAAAAAAAATAAAAATTTAAAAAAAAAAATACTAACCTGAAGGGACAATGGGTTGCTACCATCTTGAGCTTTAGTCCAACATGCAACTAGTTTTTCTACATTTCCTGCACAAATGTAGCACAAACATGCCTGAGTCTGCAGGAGGCTATCTCCTTCACTTTCAAGCCTGGCTCCCAAAAGATCTATAAATCAAGAGGAAAACATCATAAGATTATAACAAAGACAATCTGTATGTAGGGTTCTGAGCAGCTCAATACTTTCAGAAATTTAGATTTCACAACCAATAAGCAACAGGGAGAAATAAAGTCACTCTAAATACTCAGTAAATATTTATTTGCTAAATGAATGGAAGTGGATGACAAATTATATATAATAATCAACTTCATAAGACTCTAGTTGTAGAACTGATTTCCATTAATTATGTTAGAAAAAAATAACATGGAAACAAATACATGAACACAAAACTATTAGTGGCGCGTTTAGAATAGTCTTATCAATGGCAGCTAGATCTGCTATAAATTATTTGTGAAAATACAGTTAGTATCTTACAATTTTCATATTCACAAAAGCAAAAGATATTTCAAGATAGCAAACTGTTGTTTACTCATGTGAGCAGTCTTAAGCTTTTTTTCTTGCAAATAATATTTATTCCTTACCCCACCAATTTAGTCATGCTATATATGACAATTTTTACTGAAATATTGTAATTCCCTTTTTACTTTTCATTTTGAGATAGGATTTCATTAAGTTGTCCTTCTGGCCTCCAATTTGAAATCATCCTGCCTCAGCCTCCTGAGTAGCTGGGATGACAAACATGTGCCACTGCACCTATATTGATTAATTTTTATCACAGCTAACATTTATTAAGTGAGAGTTACTTTTGTGTAAATTGAGATCAGAAAATAATTTTTCCTATAATTATAGCTAGTAAGTAGGAAGCAAGTTTCCAATTCTGGTCTGAAATCAGACTTACTAAATAGTATTTTTAAAAATAATGGAAGAATGTAATTCCTAATAAAATTTGTCGTTAATTTCATTATAATAATTTTAATTACAATAAAATTACCATGTCATATATGTAATATAGTAAAATGTAACGTTTACTTCTTACCACACAGGGCTGAAAATTCATCTGGTTTAGCATAAGTCAATACTGCAGCTAAAGCCTCTCTCCAATTTTTAAGATCACAGGATTGAACAATCTCTTTCCAATTCTGCATCACCACTGCAGTGATGAGCTTAGGCAAGAAAAATAAAGGTAAAATTGAAAGTGTTTAGTGTATTAGTGAAAATTAAGTCTGGATAAGCAATCATCTTTCAAAACAACAACTTCATGTCAAATTAAGCAGCAGCAAAGAGAAGTATATTCTGGAGCCAAAGGACATAACAAACAGTATTATTTTCCTTAAAAACAAGAAAATCACCAACAAACATTTTACAAAGCAATGAGAAGAAAACATTTAACAGGAAGATGTGACCTGGTCTAATGTGGATTTTTGAGAGATAATTAGAAAGACAAACAGGATATAACTTCATCAAGAAGGGGAAAGTTCCATGTATGTATAATATGTCAAAATATACTCTACTGCCGGGCACGGTAGCACAAACCTATAATTCTAATGTCTTGGAGGCTGAGGCAGGAAGACCACAAGTTCAAAGCCAACCTCAACAAAAAAATGAGGTACTAATTAACTCAATGAGACCCCCGTCTCTAAATAAAATACAAAATAGGGCTGGGGATGTGATTCAGTGGTCAAGTGCCTGTGAGTTCAATCACCGATACCCCTCAAAAAAAAAAAAAAAAAACAACAACAACAAAAAAAACAACTCTACTGTCATGTTTACCTAAAAAGGAAAAAGCATTCTAGGCAAAAGGAAAATCAGGTACAAAGACCCAGGGAGAAATAATCATGAAGTGAGTAAGAAACTGGAAAGCAGGCAGTATGCTAAAAGATAACAGGGAGAGAATAACATGAGCTGAGGCTGGGAGACTGATAGCAAACAATGTTAGTGGGACTAAACACTGGTACAATTTTTACAGAAAATAATTTCCACAAAAATTATATATTTTTTAAGATATTAAAAGAAATTTCAAGCAGGAGTCTTAAAAATGTTTAGGCCATTTGTGCCAGAAATTCCTCTCCTAGTACTGTAGGTAATCAATCAGAAATTTGCACTAATTTTTAGGCATAACAAAGGTTTTTAATCACTGTACAAATAATGGTGGTTACCTGTATGAGGAAAACATTAGAATATGCCTAACATCCTTCCCATAAAATAATATACAGTAATTAAATTTTTTTTGTAAGAATCTTTAATGATGTGGGAAAATGCTTATAATGTGAGTGACAATATAAACAAAACCACACACATATAGCCAGGTGTAGTGGTGCATGCCTGTAATTCCAGCTACTCAGGAGGATCTTGAGTTTTAGGCCAGCTGGGCAATTTAGTGAGAACTTGTCTTGAAATTAAAAAAAAAAAAAATTATGAAAGGGTTAGGTGGTGTAGTTCAGTGGTAAAGCACTTGCCTAGTGTATGCAAGACCCTGGGTTTAATCCATAGCACTGAAAAAAGAAAAAAATCATACACATATATCTACCTGTCTATATGGAAAGATATAGGGAAAGCTCTGCACTAATATACTGTTAGAATTAGGTGATGCTAGAAATTTAACCTTTAAAGTTTTTTATATTAAACCTTTATACAGAATATGAAAATATGTTTACTTTTTAAATTCTACACAGAAACAACAAAAACTGGAAAAAATCACACCAATGCCAAAAACTATCTCTGGGTCAAAAAATTATGGATGGGTTTCTAAAAATTCATTACTGTGTTCTGAATCTCAATTATCCACAATAATAGAGAATTACTTATACAACCATAAATATGTTACTATTTATTTATTTTGAAAATAACATACCCTGGTAATTTTACTTTGGGATTTTGCAAAGTATTTTCTCTGGGTTCGAGCCAAGAGTTCTTGTCCACCTGCTATGGCCAATATAATGGCATCAGCCATTCGGTTATCATGTAAACAAAGGTCAACAGCACTCTCAAAATTACCCGTCAGTAAAGCCTGAGTAATTAAACCATCAATATCTGCAACAAGGAAACAATACAACCATATTAAAGAGGGCTTGTTATCAAAAATAGCTATAATAAAAAAGTACACATATCAATTTTTATACAGAGACATGAACTGAGAACACAATGCTAATTTTTTAATACTGGAGGATTAAATTTCAAACACAAACTGTTAGTATTTAAGTATTTAAGGAAGAGATCTATAGAAATATATTAAGAAGCACATAAAATAACACTATTTACAGATTACCTATGTGGATTGATAAAGATCATTTAGGTGTCAAAATGTACCATCCTTCCAAAAGCACCAATTACATATGGTAAATAGTAACCAAGTTCTTTTTCAACTCTCTACCATCTTTGACAAACATTTCTAACTTAAATTTCTGGGCCATTTGCTTTCAGGTTTTTAATTTTTTTTTTTAAATATTAAAATAAAACTAATAGGCACTTACCCCCACTGATGGAGATATTAAATGTTCCCCCAGAGGGGGGTAGAAATTCATATTCATGTTTTTCTTCTTTAATGTGCTAAAGAGATGGAAAAGGCATCATATTAGCCAAAATGAACCCATGGAAGATATTCCAGAAAAATTCTCATGTCTAAATTTACACAAAAATCTATGACTTCCTGAAGTATCAATTACCATTATATAATTATAAGTAAAATTCAAAGTCATCAGAAATAATGTTCAATAAACTCAGTGTATACATTCATTATAGATACCTGAAAAATTAATGAAACTGGTTAATCTTTGTTAGATACCTCAACTATGAGTGCCTTGAAGTACACAAAACATACATATTTTAAACTATATTATCATATTTAGATTTAAAACAACCCCACTTCAACTTATCTAATAACTCCTACATGCCAGGCCTACAGAGATGCTGGGATTATAGGTATGTACCACACACAGGGATTGTCTTGAATCTGCTGATTGCTTTGGTAGCGTTGAGAACATTTTAACAGTACTAACTGCTAAACTATGAACATGCATATCTTTTTCAATAGCTTTTATCAGTGTTTTATAGTTTTCAGTGCACAGGTCTTTCACCAACTTCATTAAATCTATTCTAAGTATTTTATTTGGGGGGTGCTGTCTTAAATGACACCATGTTCTTAAATTTTTTCCTTCAGATAGTTCATTGGTATATAGAAAGGCTATTGATTTTTGCTATATTGATCTTCTATCCTGCAAATTTACTGAATTCCTGTGTTTGTTCTAAGATTTTTTTGGTGGAGTCTTTAGGGTTTTCTATATG